TCTTCCTTTCAATCAGCCCCATCTTCCTCTTCCTGCCTTATCCATGCATTGATATCCTAACCTATTCTGCGAGGCTGCAATAGTCACTCCCATGGCAATTTCTGTGATGTCACAACAAGAAGCTTCTGACACTAGCTTTGGGCTGACCCCTCTACACAGGAATGAAAGGAACTGCAGAAAACAACACCTGAAAATGAAACACGGTTGCTCATATACAATGACAGAACATGCATGGGGCCTAAATCACTACCAGTACTGTTCTAGAAACTGACTCCAAGGATCTCATGTATTTTTAAAGAGAGAGAAGGGCAAGTCTTCTAACCTCAGCAAAACTTGCGAATGTTACAGCACCAAGGATGCCTTTACTAGCTGCACTTAAACAGTCAATTTTTAATGGAGTTGTGTATGAATAATTGCTGTTAGGTTAAGGTGCAGTACAATTATATGATTTCCACATCATAAGCACTTTCATTTTGTTTACTACTAGTCTCCCTCTGGAAATGCTGAACCTTAATTGGGCACTTTACCTGCAGTGTTGGGAACCAGTGAAAAAGGGAAATGACCCAGTACTGAAAAAACTGAGTACCGTTATAATCATGAATAGTACTTTGATTTGTCACATTTCTTTGCTCTCCACTGTAAGAAAAAAAATGCAATTTAGTACCTCTATATTAGTCAGCATTCAAGAAGTCACAAATAAACACCTTGTGAAAGACACGATGCAGAAGATCTCTGGCTTTGATCTCCCACGGAGCTCATGGGCAACCCTAAACCATATCCGCACAAACCATAGTAGATGCAGATACTTGCTGCTCAAGTGGAAAATTAAAGACTGTGCCCTGTGTGACCGTGGTCACCCAGAACAGACCATGGAACATATAACAACTCAATGCCCGATTCACAAATATGAAGGAGGCATCACAGCAATACACTCTGCTACTCCAGATGCAAATATCTGCCTTAACCATCTAAATGTAATATAATAGTTGTTGCTCTACATTTACATCAGACATACGAGGAAGAAGAATCAGCGTTCAAACTGGGAATTTCATAAACCAAAGTGGGTGGAGGCAAATTTGCATAGTTAGGTAACTAATTTACTATTTTTTTAAACAGAAGCGTGAATCACCTACCCATAATTATAGGTTCCTACTGAATTTGTAGCTTAGTTTCCCTTAGCACAAAACTATTTGGGCTGAAATGGACATTAATGAACCCTGGCCCTCTGTCCATTAGCTACAGTAATTCATCCTTCTATGGTCCATCATATAAAGCATGCTAGTGTACATTGGAGTTTGTCATTCAAACCATGTCCTCCTTTCTTTTCACTCCACCTCTTCCCCAAATGATCACCACCTCCATAATACCTTTTATCTACTCCAGAGAGAACAATCAAATACAAGATTTGAATTTTCTCCCTCGGTATGGTGTAGAAGTGTCCCACTACCAGCTAATGGGTCATCAAATAATTCTTGAAAGTTCTATAGGCATTTCTAAATAACAGGGAAAGCCCACCTCCAACATCTCAGTTAATTGTTGTGTTCCCATTCTGTGTTTGCTCTCAGAAAATTATATATGAACTAATTTCCTGATTTTTAAAGTGAGCCCAAGCACAATTGTCTTTGGGCACATGAACGTATGTTGCAAGAATACAAAAGAAGCTGACAAATGTAAACAAAAAGAGAACCCCCCCCCATAAACGTAAAAGTACTCTCCTCACCCCACCAGCAAAAGACTGAACAAGAAGATAGACTTTGCACTTAGTTCTGAAGGTTAAATTCTGCCTGTTCTTTTTTCTTGCACAGTTCTCTGTATCACAAAGCAATGGAAATCAGAAAAGTCCAGAACTTTATCAGATTATTACAAGCCATGAATGAAGTTTAAAGAATGAGAAACAGTTACTAGGTGCTTCAGAATTTTTTGAATCCTTGGCTAGATACAATGGTATAAAAGAAACTGTTCCTTTCATTGAACTCCCTATAATTGTAAAATTGAGGTCCTTCAGGATGCAGTAGGAAACTTTGGGGCTATATTTATGTCAAGAATGAAATGCTTAACTATATCATTTACTTATTCATATGCAAACTTATTTAAATCTCATGGAATTATAGTGTGTAGGTCTTTCTATAGTCTCTTTCATTGCAGTCTGCACTCTATCTAACCCCTCCCTGCCTGACCAGGAAACAGGAACCTCACCTTAGGCAGCTCTTGTCTTCCTCTTTTATAAACAATTAATTAGATCAACATGTTAAACAGTTTCCTGTTTCGTTATCCCCTTGCTCCAATAGCATACAAGCTTTTTAGTGATCCAATTTTCCTTTCTATAGTATGCCTTCAGGCCTGTGTATGTATGCAAAAATGCACACACATATTTTCCACATACAATTATTATGCGATTGTGTGTTCAGCCAGAATAACTGCATCCATAAACAACACCATAGACATCTATTTGGTCATTTGCATACATAATCTTGCTAATAGTGCTATCTAGCTCCTATAGAGAACTTTTCTTCTGTCAATTTCAAAGTGCTTTAGAAAGGAGGACTCAGTATCCCCTTTTTATAGATGGGAAAACTAAGGCATCATGATGTGTAGTGACTTGCCCAAGGCCACCCAGTAGCCCACTGGCAGAGCCAGAAATAGAACACGTCTCATTGGTCACAGTCCAAAGCTCTAGCCACCAGTTATGCAAACACAATTGTCTTTACCCAATTATGAAAATCAGGTCCTTCGTCTGCTGTGACTGTACTTTTAACATCCTGCATTAAACATTCTCTGCATCTGATGTTTAGGTTATTTTGTTTGGCTTGTTATAATTTATATTATTTCTTCTTATTGATACAGAGCCCTTAATCCTCATCTTTCTCATGTTGTTTACATTTTTCAAAAGCCTGCTTATTGCTTAGAGTTGGGATTTTAAAAAGGAGTCTAAGGGAGTTAACAGGCAAATGGGAGCTGGGTGCCTAACTGTCATAGGCTCTCTGGTAATATTAATAGTTATGCAGTCTGGGATTTGCATGACCTTCTATCTTTTGCCAGGTTTAATGTCAGTTGTATATAGATGCACTCTCCCTCTAAAGGTCTGACTCCTTTAGAACTCTGTCCTGCACATTATAGAACAGAATTAAAACTGACTTTGCCTTCTGCATGCCAGCAAAATCAACATTTTAAAAGTTATAGGACCAATTTATAAGCAGGAGCAGCTCTCTCACCTTCCACAGAGTTGTGCCTCCTTACACCAGATATAAATTGGACTCACCCTGCCTAGAGTTTTTTCCACTAGCTCTTGCCTTCACAAGCAATTTACAACAAATAATTCCATAATCTCTAGATTGTAGATGCTTTGTACTTCATATTATTCTTGGCTTGTTTCCCAGGGTTTGGGCCAAAAAAGCTGCTAAGTAAACAATTCAACAAGCTGTGTAAGAAAGCAAACCTGCTGTCTCTCTAGACATATGTTCACCTTCTTGGTTATTATGTAATTGTTCTCCAAATCAATAATCCCTTTTGATCAAAGTTCTGGCCTACTTACAGGGTCTCTATTATCTACAATGACATTTACTGTTCCACTTTATCTAAATGCTCTGGAGGTCTATCACAATATCCAAGAATCATCAGAGTAGGTTTATTGTCATCTTTTATTTAAACACTTTCAATCACATCCACCAAAATGTCTCTTCAGACTTTTATCTAGCAACAATGTTGATGCTCCTTCTCCTGTTTTACTCTGTCTAGTCCTTAGGAAAATAGCTTATTCAAACATTTAAAATGTAGTTGATTTCCTTATTCAACTTTTATAACAATATTAATATTACATTGCATAGTATGAGGTGTCCTTAAAAGTCCTATCAACTATCTTATTATAAGTACTCTTAGCATTTGAATAGAAAAGTCCTCCTACAGGGCCAGCTGTTGCAGCCTACAGAGAGGTTGTGGGAGTGCTCTACGGCAGTGAAACCAGCATGGATATTCTGCACAAGGAAGGGCACCAACTGTGAAGATGTGATGCAGGTACATTCTGCTTCCCTTCCATGCTGTGGAGCAGTGTCTGGTGTGGCTCTCGCCAGGCCGCTATGCAGGTGCATTGGCCAATCCTCTCACGCTGAAAGATGTGCACAGAAGTGGTAGATGTGACTCCACCTGACCATCTTAACAAAATGCCTAAATAATAGATTCTAGAGAGAAAGAGAAACAGCACTTTAAACTGCCTTAAAAGTAAAGTTGGTTAAATATTATTCAGTCATTCCATTGTTCAACAAATGTTGTCGTTGTCAAATAATTTGCCCATTTTTAATCATCACACAGATTTTGGTGAATGCAGCTGGGAGAGTTAAAATAGATGGTGACAAACTGCTTATAAACCAGTATACTTTTGTCAGTAACAGCACTAAAACTGCTCTTCCTTAGCATCTGCCTCCAACCTAGGTACACTAGAGTCACAAGCTAGAACATCAGTTGCAGCAATGTATCAAATCTGTTCCTAGGCATTTGTTTCTAATGCAAACACAGCTGCACCTGGACTCCAAATTAGCCCATGGGCATACATTTTAGAACTCATTTAACTCTTTACTTCTTGGATTATTTCATTGTACAAAACATAGAGGACCCAGTCCTACAAGTTGCAGAGCTTCCTCTGTTTCCATTGCATCAATGGGAGTTCTGCGGTTTACAAGAGATGTTCAGCATATCAGCCCTATGCTTCACAGTTGCAAATTAAGGGCCAAATGCTGACTGCCTTCAACTCCCATTGACTTCAATTATTGCAGAAAAGAAATTATTTCCCTAGGCAACCAGCACTAGAAGCAGGGTTGGTATCAGGATTATCGTATCAATGTTTAGCCCAGCCTATCCTGCCACCAGTCAGGATGCTGCCAGGGGACATGGGGCAATTGAATAGTGGCATGTTGAGGCTATCAATTGTCTTCAAGTGCAAAAATAACATTATTATTCTACTATTGATACACTTCATGTTTTGTAGTTAACCTCTTTTTTTATTCTAGATGTGATGCAAGCATTGCAAAGCTATCTGGAGACATAAATATAATCAGGCACGAGATCCAGAGGCTAGAGAAAGGGATTGGTGGCATCCGCTCTACCTCGGAAAGTTATGCTAATAATTTAGAGATGAAGGTGAGCAGATGAACACATAATGAAAAAAGAAGATATTTTGGCTGTAAGATATGCATATAAATTATCTTCTCTCATCACAACTGCTGACCAATGTTAATGGTGGATGTGATATTGACACTGGTTTATTTATTTGTTTAAACAAGCCCCTTTCCATTCCAGTAACATTATACAATAGCATGGATGGGAGTGTACACACATAAGGAGTAATACAAACTAAACAATGCACTCCTGGGATGTGGGGATCATGAAATATTAAAAAAAATCCCATTACAATTTGCTAATAATATTTCATTACCCAAACCTTAGACCCTCGAGCCCCTTCTTGTTTTAAAATGCATCTTGAAATTCCAGATCCAAGGACTTTGAAGTTGGAAAATACCACAGGAAACCAGGATTTTATTCTTTAGTTTCAGCTTCAGAAGTAGCTGGGACAGATCTAGTTGCTTAAGTGCATTGGGGGAGGGATAATTCAGTGGTTTGAGCATTGGCCTGCTAAACCCAGGATTGTGAGTTCAATCCTTGAGGGGGCCACTTAGGGATCTGGGCCAAAAATCAGTACTTGGTCCTGCTAGTGAAGGCAGGGGGCTGGACTCAATGACCTTTCAAGGTCCCTTCCAGTTCTAGGAAATAGGTATATCTCCATATTTAAATTAGCCATGCAAATTTTGGAACCATTCCAAAGTGCTCTTGAACTTGTCATTCTTAGGGTAAAACTTTCACTTTTGTCAGTCACTTTTTCTGCTAAAGTATTTTTTTCTGCTGTGTATATCTGTATATAGCATGGATGTACTGATATTTTCACAGCCAACAGGAAAAATTGTGCTGTATAGTATTCCTAGCATTCGGCCTCTCCTGTGAGAGACTAGCATCCTCAACTCCCTTTGCCTTCAATATAAATACAGGCTGATCAGCATCATGCGGGATTGAGCACATAAATAGTATCTTTACACGGGGTAATTTGGCTTTTACCAAGTAATAACTGTTGGTCCCTCCTTCCACCCCAGTGAGTACCCATCATATTCATTAGAGGTTGCTATTTAGATTAAATTTATTATACCTTAGTCTTTAATTTCCTTATTTAAAATAGTCACTTCACTGCATTCTGCATTTATGTGCTTCTATGTAAGACAAGCTTCCAGTCATTTCATACAGTGCAAATATCAGCTTCATCTGCTCCAAGGCAGAATTACCCATGGCAGTTCAGATGAAGATATTTTACCTGTATTATAAGACACTGTTTGGAAATCTGTCTCTTTCAATACATGTAAAAACATCCTGCCTCCCTACTAAATGAAAAGCAGAACAGGTGTGTGCTAAAATCACATGAAGCAGCATACAAATGTATGTAAAAACCAAGTCAGCCACTTCATATAGAGATATTAAGCAGAAAATGGAACAACAGTGTCCACTGAAGAGAAAAGATTTCTTCTCACAGTATGACCCTAAACAGAATGCAGAAGAATAGAGTCTGAATGCAAGTTAATCTGTTGATCAGAAAACTATATTGGAAAACTATAGTAAAGAACAGAATTATCAGACAACATAGATGAACACGATTTGTTGGGGAAGAGTCAATATGATTTTTGTAAAGGGAAATCATGCCTCACCGATCTAATAGAATTCTTTTGGGGGGGGGGGGTCAACAAGCACGTGAACAGGGGTGAGCCAGCGGATATAGTGTACTTAGCTTTTCAGAAAGCTTTTGACAAGGTCTATCACCAAAGGCTCTTAAGCAAAGTAAGCTGTCACGGGACAAGAGGGGGAGGTCCTCTCATGGATCAGTATGCAAAAGATAGGAAACAAAGGGTAGGAATAAATGGTCAGTATTCAGAATGGAGAGAAGTAAATGGTGGTGTCCCCCAGGGGTCTGTACTGGGGAAAATACTGTTCAACATATTCAGAAATGATCTGGAAAAAAGCATAAACAGTGAGGGGCAAAATTTGCAGATGATACAAAACTACTCAAGATACTGTGATACAGGAGGGCCAGGAAGCAGTGAGAGAGTGGATGAGGGGAGATATATAAACTCTAGGCTAATTAAGGCGTGGTTCCCTGTAGACTAGGGATGGTTGCTACAGGTTAATTGGAGCACCTGTAGTCAATTAAGGCCCTGTCAGGAACCTAATAAAAACCCCTGATTCAGGCAGCCAGGGAGTGTGAGGTAGGAGAGAGACATGGAGTTTATAGGTGTGTTGATGAGACTTGACAAACCAGAAAACTGAAGGACGGGAGACCCAGCATCAAGGACTGAGGGTAACCCTACCCAAGGAGGAAGAGGGTAAGAAACCTGCAGGGGTTGAGAGGGGCTGGGGCTCAGAGTGAGGAGCAAACCCAGATCTCTCCTCCCCTGCTTCCCTCCTCTACCACCTTCCTGGGCCAAGTGGGGTCCTTGGTGCTCCAAGAGCAGGGCCAAGGGGTGGTGTCTTAGTCCCCTGCCAAGAAAAGCCTGGGACCCACCATACCAACATTGGTCATTCTGTCACAATAGTTAAGTCTAAAGCAGACTGTGAAGAGCTCAAAAGGATCTCACAAAACTGGGTGACTGGGCAACAAAATGGCAGATGAAATTCAGTGTTGATAAATGCAAAGTAATGCACATTAGAAAACATAATCCCAACTAGATATACAAAATGATGGGGTCTTAATTAGCTGTTACCACTCAAGAAAGAGATCTTTGAGTGAGTGGATATTTTTAGAGAACTATCCACAATAAATGTGCAGCGGCAGTCCAAAAAGTTCTCAATGTTGGGAATCATTGAGAAAGGGACAGGTAAGATGACAGAAAATATCATATTGCCTCTATATAAATCCATGGTATGCCCACATCTTGAATACTGTGTGCACATGTGGTTGCCCCATCTCAAAAAAGATATATTGGAAAAGGGCAACAAAAATTATTAGGGGTATGGAAAAGCTTCCATATGAGGAGAGATTAATAAGACTGGGACTCTTCAGCATGGAAAAGGGACAACTAAGGGGTACATGATAGAGATCCATAAAATCATGACTGATGTGGCGAAAGTAAAATAGTAACTGTTATTTACTCCTTCTCATAACACAAGAACTAGGGGTCACCTAATTAAATTAATAGGCAGCAGGTTTAAAACAAACAAAAGGAAGTATTTTTTTGCACAATCTGTGGAACTCTTTGCCGGGGGGGTTGTGAAGGCCAAGACTATAATAGGGTTCAAAAAAGAACTAGATAAATTCATGGAGGATAGGTCCATCAATGGCTATTAGCCAGGATGGGCAGGGATGCAAAACCATGCTCTGAAGTGTCCCAAGCCTTTGTTTTCCAGAAGCTGGGAATAGGTGACAGGGTATGGGTCACTTGATGATTACTTGTTCTGTTCATTCCCTCTGGCATTGACCGCTGTCAGAAGACAGGATACTGGGCTAGATGGACCACTGGTCTGACCCAGTATGGCTGTTCTTATGTTCAGAAAACAATGTAATCACTGTGGGTGTGATTTGCCCCATCTTTACTCACCTTAAATAGTCCTGTGGATTTCAATGAGACTACTCCTATGGATTAAGGTACTAACAGTAAATAATAGTGGCAGAACTGGGCCCTGTAGAGTTTGGGATTACATTTGCCATATACAGTTTTCTAATTGCCAAATGGATTATAATTTCCTAGTAGATGACTTTTAGCTCATGATTAAAGTCTTGCATGAACTTCAAAAAAGCCTTTACATTAGGGCCTAATTAAATTCATCTGCCAAGTGTAGTGAACATAACCAAACTCTTGGTATTCCAAATTTTCTCAGATTTGATCTCCCAATTTACATAGACCTGGATTCTCTACATAAAACCATCATTTAGCACCAAGTATTTGGAATGCTACAAAGAATGCTACCGGTGAATCATCATGGGTTGTAAATAGACTTGGGAGCCAAGATAAGTAGCCGTATATAAGAATTTTACCTTATAAAGGGCTCAGTCCCCAATGACATCAATGGGAGTTAAATGGTGGTCCACATCTTGCAGAATCAGGTTCAAAGAGAACAGAGTATACAGCCGGAAGTTTGACTGCTAGCCTTTAGCATTCAGTTAAATTAATTCTGGAAAAAGCACTTTCCATTGCACACCCACCTTAAGTTCAGGCTGATTTCCCAGCTCCTGTAGCAATAATGTGTAGTTAATGTAAGTGCTGATAGTTTGGCTCATGAAAACGTTCCCTGTTGAATTCTCATTAGGTAATGCGGCTATTAGACAAGATCGAGACTTCCAACTCTGAGCAAAGCTCTCATTTAAAGACAGTCCAGGGGGATCAACACCATGAATTGCAACTTCTGGATTTCAAGTAGGTGATGGAAAGTTTTTAATTATATTAATGGACTCTGAATGCTTTAGTCTGGCATGAAACAGCAAAACAAACTGATTTATATACATTCAAAAATGCTGAGACAAGACATACACAATACAGTCATAATTTAAAAATATAGAATTGAAGAACATTCATTTTACACCTAATCCTTAAAATGAAGAGACACTAAATGCCACCCCAGAAGAAACAACAAATACAAAAGCCAATGGAGCTTACCATACTTAAAGAAAGGCATTGGATACTTCTGTTCAATTTACCATAATATTTATGGCTGACTTGCAGCCTGGCTAGTGTGATAGCACAGGGGCATACAGGGAATCAAGGTACTCCCCTCATACCCTGCATTGGCTACCCATGCCATGGGAAGCAGCATGGGAAGGGAAGCAGGCTCCAGTGATGCTGCTTCACCCATTTGTGCAGGTAGGCAGGAAGAGTGAGGAATAGGTGGAACTTTAGGTCTGGCAGGCAGTGTAGTTATGCCAGGGCATCAGGAAACATATGCTGGTCATGATCACTTGCACCTAGGCAACCATCAATTTTTAGTGGAGCGACCAATTCATCTTTATTGATCAGAGTGAGGTCTACTTTAGAATTACCCGCACCTTGGTTACAATACTTTGTGTTAGAAAAATTATCTCACATTTTTCTTTCTACATTTTATAAGAAGATGTTTAAGGAGCTGTTCACCCTGTGTTTGTGTGGTTTGGTGGTAACAGAACCCGCTCTAGATGAGCTTCCCCTCCTGGACACTCACTAGACTGCTCTGAGGGGATCCAAATGCTGAATCCCTCCAGACTCTGAACAGAGCCCAGGCACTGCCCCAGCTTGAGGTGTCTAGGCTCACACTCGCAGGGAGGATCCCTTGCTTAATAGCCTTTCTGAGAACTGAGACCCTGCAGTCCCATTGTCCAGCTGCCCAGCCCAGTGGCTGCTCTAGCTACAGGCAAACTAGGCAGCTGCCTAGGGTGTCATGGCAGCCAGGCCAAACCTGAACAGTGCTGCAACCATGTGCACCAGGTCACAATGCCGCTCACTCAAATTTTACCCAGCCAGCCCCTCCCCACATCATGATGGAGGAACACCGTGCCAAACCTGAGTGAGTGGCACTGTGACCTGGCACTTGGCTCCCCCATTTCTACTACAATCACTGGAAGGCTCCCCACCAAAAAAGTCCAACGTGCCTTTTCTAGGAGGTGGGGGGGGGGTGTCACACACTGAAGTTTTGCCTAGAGGGGCAGATTGTCTTGAGCAGCCTCTGGCCCAATCCCTGTTACCAGTGGTGACACCTCTGGCTCCCCCATAACTTAAACACACCCGTTAGGTTTACAGTTTACCTCTTCAAGGGGTATGTTAGAGATGTATACACAACAGACACTTTGCACAGGAGTCTAAAATACATTTGATATTTACTTAGTAGCATGAGAAATTTACAGATCTAGACAAAAATAATAAACCCTACACGCTTCCCCTCCCACCTCGCTCAGTTTCTTCACCACTCTGGACCATTCTTTGTGCTGGGGCCAGGGTCCTCTGGGAAACCCAAGACCCTTCCCCTTCAGCGGCATGACTTATCATCTGAACCTTACTGCATCTCTCATTTGCTCGCTCTGCAGGCCAGCTTGTTTTGATCTTGGTTGGTTCCACAGATAAATTGCCCCCTCAACCCACTAAAAAAGCACACCCATCTCGTCTCCTTGGTCCTGCCGAAAGCTTCCTGTGTGACTCTGAGAATCTCCTCCCCACACACACACGTCCTTTTCAAAATCTTTGCCATCTTTCTCTTTGTCCTGTCTTGGAATTTTCTACTCTTCTCTCCTTCACCAGCCCCCTGCAGAGAGATAGGATAAGACAGGTTCTCCAAGGCTTGAGCTAACCTGTTGTCTCAAGATGCTTCCACCTGAACAGGCAGCTAGCAATTTCTAACATCTTTGTACCTGGTCAGGGAAGGATGTGACACAGCCCATGTCAGCAAGGGTGGGAGCCACATGCACTTAGAGGTATTCAAAAATACAGTAATTTCATAAGAACAACTTGATATCCTCAACCAGAATTCATAACTTGTACGGGCAAATTCCCCATCTTGTGATTTATCAGTTAGCACATTGATCTGTATGTATAACAGATCCTGCCCTTCTGAATTGTCAATAATTCTAAAGCATGTAATGGTATCTTTGACATAGAATGCCATTCTCCTCCACCCTCTTCTGCCCACTCTTTCCTAAATGAGTTTTAGCATTCCAGTTAAGTGACTCACCCCCTCACTTTTCAGTAATACTAATTATATGTCCCCTCCTGACTCCCTTTAAATTACTCAGGTTGACCACTGTGCTATACTATCTGTATGATATCAATACACTCAGTGTATTTTTTCAGGAGCAAGTATAAACATTTCCAGGAAATGCACTTAATATAAATTTGTTTGCCAAGTGGTGTTGCTTACCTCCCTAATTACGATTTGCATTTCCGTGGTACCTAGGGACCCCAATGATATACTAGGTTATACAACACAATGAAAATACTGTCCCTCACCCAAAGAGCTAACAGTAAAACAAGAGATAACAGGTGGATACAACAGACAGTGGGGAAGTACAAAGAAATAGTTAGACTAGTGAAATGGATAACTATGAGCAGAAATGGTCACAGCATGCCAACTACCCAAGCATTGTTGAAGTGTTTTTTTTTTATAGGCATCATGCAGAGGGGGGCTTTGAAGGAGGCCAATGAGGTGGCTTAGTGGTTGTTTACAGGGATCTTTTATGCGGGCGGGATGGCAAGGGAGGAAATGTGAAGATGCTTTTTGAAAATGTAATAAATGATGATGAAGACTGGTATAGTGGAGGCAGGAGTGGGTGTCTCAATAGTAATATAAAAGATGATGGGTAAGGCAGGGATAGACCATGACGGGCCTTAAAGCAGAGAAGAGTAGTTTGTGTTAAGAAAGGGGAGCCAGTGGAGGGATGCAAAGAGATGTTGTGGTGAAACAATGAGCCAGGAAAATATTTGCAGCAGTGTTTTGAATAGCTATAAGTAGGCAAGACTGCAGGATTGAGGAAACTTATTGCTCTTAAGTGGGCAGAGGAAATGAATGAACTGATTCTCTGGTCCCTCACCACTCCTTTCTGTAAGAATATTCATCCCTGGCTTATCTCTGACTATGGGGAAAAGTGCTTGCGAGAGCCCCTTGTTAAAATACTTGTAGTACAAGACTGTTATGTTTTTCTTGATAAATGGGGGGCTCCTTTTTCCAGAGAGTGAGTCCATAGCCATGATACTAGAGAAATCCATGTTGATTACAAAAGATATAAATCAAAATTGCTCAAATTTTCATTCTTGAACTTTCAGAACAATCTCTTGCAATTGCTTTTTGTCTGTTTAGCAATAACGAAAAATGACCCAATGCATTATTTTATATAGCTCTTGATAAGGTGCGAGCTACAGGCAAGAACTGCTGTCAAATTCCATGTATAGCAAGTCACTTACTATTGCTCTGTTCTTATTTTCAGAATCTGTTACTGTTAATTACCATTATCTCTACTATAGGACTAATAACACTGTATCTGTAGCATTGTGTTTAAAAAAAAAAAAAGGGGGGGGGGGGCTCTTTTCCTTTCACCCAACGCTTGATTTTTTCCAGGATAATATTTGTACTTTAGAATTACAAGTAAATGTGCCTTTCAGGAATGCTTAGTTATAAGCTTCTGTTTTATATTTTGACTGAGGCACAAAGATGCCCAGCTGGCTTGCCCCAAAGCTGTGCACTTACTCAGTAGTACCGCTCAAATTAGAATTCCAGGAGTCAATGTTTACAGGAGAACAAATATGTCAAAATTAGCATAGAAAATAATATTTTCTTACACTTTAAGGTCAGATCACCCACAAAGCTTGGAAATTTACATTTATAACTGAAACTTGGTCCTAAAATCATCTCTGTAATATGTCTCTCAATGTACATTATATCACACGTTGCAGCATAAAAAGAACAAAGTCGAAAGCACACAGCCCCCTCTAACTAGACACTGTTCACAGCTCTGATTTCTGAGCTGTTGTGAGCCTCAATCCCACCCCGGGCCTGCTCTCTACTCCCAAGATCCTATATTTTGATCTCTCTACAAAGAGAGATCTCTCTTTTTCCCCCCCCCCCCCCCCCCCCCCCCCTCTTTGTCTTTATTCTGTCTCTTTTGGGAGACTTCCATATGCCCCCAAGGCAAACTGGTCTCCTTGTACTCTCTCAAGCTTCTATTCTGTCTTTTCAAGTTTCCATTTCCAGCTCAGTCCTGACTGTGCTGCTCTTCCTGGTGCCAACAATATAGGGTATGCTCAGCCTGATACTGTATTGACCACATCACGTTGGATCCCTGGTACGACCAGAAATGGATGGAACTAATCCATTTCAAGAGTAAATTTGATTGGAATGGGAAAATAAACTATTATGCATATTCACTTCTCCAATCTTCTCCCCCAGATGACAACAGAACTAAGCCAGCCAGACATGTTAAAAACAATTTACTCAAGTGACTAAGGTTTTCACATAACATTGACTAAAACTCAGGTTTATTACTAACAGATTAATCCTTCTTAATATTAGGGTGAATAATCTTCTAAAGGACCTCCGGGATCAAATTCAAGACCAACAAAAGTGGACAGAAACCCAACTGAGGCGATCTGAACAAGAACAAGCCTACAATACAAATCAATTTCTTAATGCAATAAAGGAGAGACTGGTAAGATGTTTTATAATCCCAGACTGATAAAATCAGTATAGATTTCTAGACCTCCCAAGACTAATTACAAGAGAAACCCCACAGATTTTTGATTGCGTAAAAATGTCCAGAGATGCAAAGTCAAAAAAAAAAAATCCAAAACAAACTGCAAAACCCTTAAGCCCCAGAAGCATAACTCTGTCAGTAAAATGACCGAAGAATGGAAATGGACTGATAATGCAATATAAAATCTTTTGTCTCGATGGTGTCAATTCAAATCCAGCTCACAGTGGTACTGACCAAAAGCTACTATCTGATGACCGTTTAATGGTCTATGTGCTTGGTGGTCTAAGTCTATTTTCCATTAGACATTTGTCCACATCACAAAAAACACCACCACATTTGGCATCCTCCGATGTTCTCATCAGAGAAACCAAGGACCAAATGGACAAGGGCATTCTACACAAGTGGTACCTGACAGACAGAGCTGAGACACATGGCTGGAGCATAATGGAGAAGCTCATGCTGTTCCCATCCACGCTGAACCTGTGCTATGAATAAACGGAGGACTCCAGCTATCTCATACTTGCTCCTTCAATGAGCACCGTATTCAGATGAGCATTTTAGAAAATTAAACACATTCCTTCCTCCCCATCATCTTAGAAATAGCTGAAGAACTTCGGTGTTTAAAGCTTCAAAATGGTTAGGTAAAACAAACAAATTCTTCCACCTGAAGTCTGGCAAAATATTTTTCCTGAAATCACCCTTTCAGCAGAGCCCCCAGAAGACAAGAGGCAAGGGGGAGGAAACAGGGTAAATAAAACTGAAGAATGCAGGGAGGATGAAAGGAGTAAGAAACTGAAAGGGAGAGAAAGGGAGACTATGAAAGATGAGCAAAGAGTTAGAACTGATGCAGATAAGAGAAGGCTTGCAGGAGTGATAGTAGAAGCCCTGGTAATGCAGTGCCCAACAAAGCAATTTTTCATTTTGTGTAATATTTGGGGTCCGTACATTCAAAATTACTACCAAGATATACAATAGACAATGTCCTTCTATGAACTGAAATATTCTCCTGAGAACAAATGCAGAACGTTTTATTTTAGCTATTCCTTTAACTCTGGATACTGTGCCCCCCCAGCATGGACCGAGTCATAGTTCACCCAACCATACCAGTGCTCTCCTATCAATGGTAAACTGCCCACAGTTCAAAGTACCAAAATTCACATCCTGAACTTATACACTTTCACTTTGAGCTCAGGCACCAAAGGTCTAGAGCCACTTCGATTGTGTAAGGCACCGAAGCATTCTTAAGTATAAGTGCTTAGCTTCCAAAAAAGCCCTGTTCTCAGGGTCAGGAAATGAAGGTTTAGTTTGTTGACTGTTGAATCGAACTAGCATAACATCCTTCCAGCTGCATTAAGGATTCTTTCTTTGCAGCCCAAGAATAGTTCTGGAGAGAATGCAATATATTTAGCAAACTTCTTCCTTTGGTTCTTACAAACACAAGTCTCAAAGATCTCTAGTGCACATTTAAAATCACATACATGATTTATAGGATGTACAAAATTTGTCTATACAGAATTTCATAAACCCGTTTCAGTTCAGAACCTACATCTTACCAAATGTAAAATTTCATAGGAATAAGGGCTGTCAAGCAATTAAAAAATTTAATCACGATAAATTGTGCGATTAATCGCACTGTTAAAAAGTAATAGAATACTATTTATATAAATATTTTTGGATGTTTTCCACATTTGCAAATATATTGACTTCAATTACAACACAAAATACAAACTGTACAGTGCTCACTTTATATTTATTTTTATAATAAATATTTACACTGTAAAAATGTTTCAATTCACTTAATACAAGAACTGTAGTGCAATCTCTTTATCATGAAAGTTAAATTTACAAATGTAGAATTATGCACAAAAAATAACTGCACTCAAAAATAAAACAATGTAAAACTTTAGAGCCTACAAGTCCACTCAGACTTACTTGTTCAGCCAATCGCTCAGACAAAGAAGTTTGGTTACAATTTGCAGGAGATAATGCTGCCCACTTCTTGTTTACAATGTCACCTGAAAGTGAGAACAGGCATTCACATGGCATTGTTGTAGCCTGCGTTGCAAGATATTTACGTGCCAGATGCGCTAAAGCTTCATGTGTCCCTTCATGCTGTAACTATCATTCCAGAGGACATGTCCATGCTGATGATGGGTTCTGCTTGATAATGATCCAGAGCACTGCAGACTGCTGCATGTTCATTTTCATCCTCTGAGTCAGATGCCACCAGCGGAAGGTTGATTTTCTTTTTTGGTGGTTAGGGTTCTGTAGTTTCTGCATCGGAGTGTTGCTCTTTTAAGACTACTGAAAACATGTTCCACGTCTCATCCCTCTCAGATTTTGGAAGGCACTTCAGATTCTTAAACCTTGGGTCAAGTGCTGTAGCTATCTTTAGAAATCTTAGAAACCTTCTTTGCATTTTGTCAAATCTGCAGTGAAAATGTTCTTAAAACTAACAACATGCTGGGTCATCATCCAAGACTGTTATAACATGAAATAAATGGCAGAATTCACATAAAACAGAGCAGAAGACATACAATTCTCCCCAAAGGAGTTCAGTCACAAGTTTAATGCATTATTTTTAATGAGCATGGAAGCGTGTCCTCTGGAATGGTGGCCAAAATATGAAGGGGCATACGAATGTTTAGCGTATCTGGCATGTAAATACCTTGCAATGCTGGCTACAAAAGTGCCATGTGAATGTCTAGTCTCACTTTCAGGTGACATTGTAAATAAGAAGAGGGCAGCATTATCTAACGTAAATGTAAACAAATTTGTTTGTCTCAGCAATTGGCTGAACAAGAAGTAGGACTGAGTGGACTTGTAGGCTCTAAAATTTTGCATTGTTTTGAGTGCAGTTATGTAACAAAAAAAATCGACATTTGTAAGTTGTACTTTCACAATAGAGATTGCACTACAGTACTATTTCTTTTATCACTTTTACAGTGCAAATATTTGTAATAAAAATAATATAAAGTGAGCACTGTACACTTGTATTCCATGTTGTAATTGAAATAAATATATTTGAAAATGTAGAAAAACATCCAAAATATTTAACAAATTTCAATTGGTATTCTATTGTTAACAGTGCAATTAAATTACGATTAATCACGATTAATTTTTTTAATTGCAATTAATTTTTTTGAGTTAATCATGTGAGTTAACTGCAACTAAGCAACAGCCCTAATAGGAATAATTGGGAATTGATACTTGAGTAATACATTTTAATTAGTTCTTTTAAAGCCTGGAAAGCTTTTTTGGCCTTTTGATAAATACACTACATCCTGCTGCAGGGTTCAATATCAAATACATGATTATGATTCTCAGCAGCAGCAGGTATGATCTTGGGTGTGCAATAGAGAAGACACTGAAAATATTTCCAGGCTTATAAAACACAGCAGCTTTGAGGTATTATTTGCTGCCTCTGATACTAGCTTTTTCATAGGTGTCTTGTCTGCAAAACACCCATGTGCAGTGCTGTTTTCTCTGTAGAGAGAGATTGTATGAAAGTTGTGCCAAAACATACAGCGTTAGCATTAGCTGAGCTCGCAGGACTATTTTTTGAATAGAAGAAATAAGGCAGAGGATATTTACATACACACTTACTTTGGAGTAGCCAAACTGTCCACTGGTGGTTATTGCTGCTTCATGAAAACACAGCGGGAAATGCAGTTGTCTGGGTGGGACTTAGAGGAATCTTCAAAGCAGAACCTCAACAGCAGTGTATATGGGAGGATGGAGTGTTCAAAGCTACTCACTAAAGTTCAGATCGTATCTTTGTGGGGGTATTTGACACCAATCAGGATCAGGCCGTAACTGCTAAGCCAACCATTACATCCCATTGTCCAGGTGCTGCACATTTTAAAACCTAGAGAGGATACAATTGCTTACTCTTCACTCATGTGACATACAGAAGCTGTATGAACTTGAGCACAGATTAGGCTCGAAGTTTACATGCTATAGGATGGAGCTGTTTAATGAGTGCAGAACAGCAGTAGTTATTCTGGGAGATGACTCACTTCATCAGCCACCTGTGTATAATTTCAATATTTGTACATGCAAAGAGATTGTTTAAACCAATACACTAAACTCTAGTTTCAACAACACTGCTATGTTTGTAAACATTTTAATTTTGAGGCAAATCCCGCCACTGCCTCTGCAGCCTTGCAGGGTCCCCTGGCGGCAGAAACATGCCGTTCTGCTGTGTAAGACCAGGGGGTGCTGACCATAGTGTGACACAGAGCTCTGAGCTACAAGGGCTCCCTGTACTGCAGTGTGCAGAGCAAGGGGGAGGTGGCGGAGGGCCCCACAGAGGCTGTGTAATAGCCTTTAGAGGCTACTACAGCCAGTAGGCTTATATGTGGGAAAGGATTTCTCTCCAGCCCCTAATTGTACATCTACTTCAGCTCTAGCCTGGCTATTCATGCTGGGCACTGGTCTCTGGATTTGCTCCTTATTGTTTAACACTTTGGGCTAGGAAGCTTTGTGTAAGAAAAGCACATTAACGGAAAGCTGCACTGGAGTGTGAATTAGTTTCTAATAATTTATTCCAAGATGAAACATGGACTAAATTGCTGGTTTTTTTAAAAATGTCCTGCACCAGCCTCCATTCCACCCTGTCTCACCCCCTGAATCTCGGGGAGGGGGGCGATGGGGACGGGTTGGAGGATATCCTGCAAGGGTGTAAGGCTCCAGCAGCATTTATTTAGTTTATATAGTATTGTCTATGCAGATTTTAAAGGTAAAGAAAACTGGTTTAACTCATGCTTGCTGGCCAAGAGGCAACTTTCTGGTGAGCAATGTAATCCTCTGAGGCCCTCTCCACACTGACAGTGGCATGCAGGGTATGTGTAACTACACAGGGCAGAGTAAGGCTCTGACAGTGGGGAAAAGCTCCAGCAGTGCGGAGCTGCCAGAGTCTTTTCTCCACTGCCAAAGCCTTTCCTTGCATCCGGGAAAGGCTCCTGCAGCAGGGAGGCAGTGGGATATTCACTGCTAAAAACAAGAAGTGTAAACATGGGAGGCACTACTTGGAGGTGTAGACAACTATGTAGGGTATATACCTTATGGTTCTAGTGTGTCTTTACTCACCTAAGCAATGCCTCAGTCTACACCGCTATTTATACTCATGTTAGGTGGGTGTGCAGTGTATGTACTCTATAGACTGCTGTAAGTGTAGACCTAGCCTTATTGACTGGTATTTATGTGACGTTCACATGATATCTATTGAAAAGGAAGCAGCAGAAAAGAAACTGGAAGAAAACGTGCACCTTTCGCTAAAGCTAGAGAACACCAATAAACCACAGCAATATGAAATGGTGCTGAGCCAGGTGAAAAAATATGAAACTAAACTGCATGCAAGAATTACGAGATTTGAAAGACAGATCTGGAATGAGCTGGAGGAAATCCAGAATGAATATAGATCAGGTAAGAAGGGTTTATTTGTTATATTTGTACAGGACTGTAACATGCTTTCTTAAAGTGCTTCCTAGTCAAATGGGAACAATATCAAAACATGCCTTTCTTCCTCAGTCCCATATAACTATTTTTCAAATAGTTTTTCCTCACTGCCTGTCACTGTTGACAGACATTACATTAGCCCACCACAATCCAGTACTTCAGTTTCCTTTTTCCATGGTGACACTTTCCTTTAGTAGCTTGTATCCTGAGACCTGAACCTGTTTCCAAACTCAGCCTTAGGGACTGCATCTAATGGTGAGAATCCTTTCTTCCATCATCAGCTAATCAGGAGGCTGCAACCTTTCCATTTGCACAAGAACCTTGTTACTGAGATCTTTGCTTGATGATGTGTAGCTGTGTATATTTTCACCTAAGGTAGCAGAGAACAAGGTCCTTCTGAAGTTTCAACTTGCTACAAAGAGTGGCACAATACAAATCTGTACACTGATGATTAGATTAAACAGGCAGACACACATATACCTGTTGCTTGTGTTCTATGATGAATGCTAGTGACATCCAACAGTGTACTTGCAGACCAAATTCTAACCTAGTCGTGTTCTACCAAGACCGTCACAGATTTGGACTTGGCTATCTTAAAGACCATGCTACCATTCACAACCTGGCAAGACAGGTTCTAGAAGGATGATGCAATTGGAAAATTTCTGAATTTAAAAATGCAGATGCTGTAGGATGAGCATTCTTAGCAGCAAGTCCTTGGTTGCTGAACTTTGTGTCAGAAATAATCAGGCTAAGCCCAAATCTAGCCATGTTCAGATCAAAATGCCAAAATCCAGCTTTTCTGTAAACACTTCCCCAGTAACTCCTTCTTTCCTAACTATCTGGTGGGGATGACAAGAAATAAGAAGAGCAAGAAGGAGAACGGGAGAAACGCAAGAAGAAAGCACTTTCTTTGTAATTTTTATGCTGTCCCAATAGCTGCTGTTGGTGCTTATACAGTGTATAAGCTGAGATATCTTGGAAATGTCTGAAATATGAGAGAGATCTGTTTGGATTTTTTTTATAACTTTAAATACTCTGCAATTACTTGCTTAAATCATATCTGAAGAGTTGCATTGATCAAATGAACTCCATATTAAACAACAGTTTCAAAACAAAAAAGAAAGTGACAGTCTGTCATGTTACCATGTACACACTTTATTTTTAAGACAGGGCCGCCCAGAGGATTCAGGGGGCCTGGGGCAAAGCAATTTCGGGGGCCCCTTCCATAAAAAAAGTTGCAATACTATATTCTCGTGGGGGCCCCTGTGGGGCCTAGGGAAAATTGCCCACTTGCCCCCTCTCCCCCCCGCCCCCCCCGGGCGGCCCTGTTTTAAGAGGACGGTTAGCTGGAAACTATGGTTAAGATGTTAATTAGCAAGAAAATCAAACATCTGTTCTGACAAATTGGGCAAACATCAGTTAGTCTGCAATTTGAGAGATCCTGTAATTTGCAAACAGGGATGGATAAATCTAACTGTTCAAAACTTTCCAGTCTCTAGATAGCCACATTACAATTAAACATTGTTGATTTTAAAAAAAGCTGGCATCCTTGGAAGTTTGTCTATTTCAGAAATGATAGAACCTATCAACTTTAACCTCTTTCTTTATATATTTACTTAGGTACATATAAGGCCCTATTAACAGTAGTATCTGAGCTCCCCCTTATCCTGTCTCAAAAATGCATGTATGATTTCCATCAAAACTATCTATCTTTTTATTCTTAGTGATACCATATAGTGTATTATAAAATAGTGACTACTTCCAAGACTAGCTCTCCTTCAGAATTGTTCTGTGTTGGATTTCTTGGCATGAACTCCACTACCTGCAGGGGACACATGAAAGCTAAAAGTTTAGCATCCAGTTGCTTAAAATGAAATAATTTTATGTATCCCAACTTGAACTATATTCACTGTCTGACATTGCCATCTATTAACAGATGATGAGTTGTCTGAGTCAGACACCAGCCCTACAGCAACCCTATCTGTGATGGAGCACACCCCTATCCCAATCAGAAGAAGGCTAATGATCCTCTGGGCTCAATCCTTATCAAATAGACATGGCTGCACAGCCTGCTGTGCAAGTTGGAGAAAGCAAGCTTAAAAAGGAGAGCTGGTCTAGGGTGACCAGATGTCCTGATTCTATAGGGACAGTCCCAATATTCGGGGCTTTTTCTTGTATAGGCTCCTATTTCTTCCCCCCCCCCGTCCCGATTTTTCACACATGCTGTCTGGTCACTCTAAACTGGTCACAAGAAGGGGTGGCAACCAGAAGGGAAGGAGCTGAAAGGGAAACAGCTGACAAACGTCTGCTGCCCCAAGACTTACCACAACCCCAAAAGACTTTAGAAAGAGGGAAAGGGCTTTGAAGCTGCCTGAGGGTGAGCCCTGAGAGAGGCTCTGCCTACTTTACAGTGTTGCTGGCTAAAACTATCGGGTTAGGTTCTACATCCGCAATTGATAGCATGTGGGATGATTGCTGCAAAGGCACTCTGTTCCCTTGACTTCAAGGGGGGTGCTCTGTGCAAGTGCAGGGATCTCCTGACATACTGTCACTTGCAGTAGCAATACTCCCAGGGGTATGTAAATGTGATTAGAGAATTTCATGGGTCCAAAAGTAATGATTATAGACTTACAAATCAGTTACTGGATAAACAGTGCATTAGTCATGCTTTTAACAGTGAAACTGCACAGCTGGAGAAAGGTAACTTCAATAACAAGCAGGACTTCATTTTTGTTAAGTTTTTGGACATCATATAGAATTCAATTTTCACATCCAATAAATGTGATGCAGGTTCTGGTACTATTGCTGTAATTTGGGAGCACTGCCAGTATGTTTGGTGCTGCCCAGTACACAGGAAGACATGATTCCAATAACAAGGAGGTTATCATTTAAAATGCTAAAGCATCTCCATGACATGCAATAAAACAGATTAGATAGTTAGAATGGTTTTAATGGGTTTTAGATTAAATAGTAGCTAATTACTGCAGGGTTGCATAAAAGCCTTTGACCATAATTTAACTAAATATACCTATTTTTACACCAGGATTTCAGTCCATTCATGAAGCTCTCAACTCACTCCAACAAATACAGACGACAAAACTGAAACTAGAAAAAAAGAAATTCCAGAAAGACATTAAAAAAATACGATGCAAGGTAACTGAACTTCAGGAAGACTGAAGCTTTTCCAGCATTTGCAGTTGTTCTCTCAACCTAACAGGACTGTTGGCTTAAAGACTGAAACAAAGAAAATCTCATGTCTCCATAGCATGTTACTGCTATCCTTAAATCATATTTTATAGTAGAACCTTCCTAATCTAGTGCAACACTAAAGAATATCAGTTATGGTGATTTTGTCTTTTTTAATATGTTGAAGCAAGGTCAGTGGGGCAAGAAAATAAATATTAAGGACTGACAAATTTGAAAAGAATATTTCACAAAAAATTAGCTCTTATTTGGGGATTTTTAGGATGCACCTGTCCGTTTAACTCCCTGAAATTCTTAAGCATAACAAGCCCACTTCTGGTCTGAATTATGCTGGATTTACACTGGTACAACTAAAATCAAAATTAGGCCTAGTAAATTCTCCCAGTATTGCTCTATGCACATACATTAAGCCTATTAATATTAAATGGCAATTGAAGGAAGAATAGCAATCCTCACCTCAGTCTCTCTAGAATATAGCAGAACATTTACTGCAATGTAATTTGGGTTGGAGAAAAAGAGAAGTTGAGTCATTCTATGCAGCCAAGGAAACTGGTGCAAGTGATGGATCAAAGGCAAGATAATGATAATTTTTGCATTATCAGAAATATGGTATCTATTTCCAAGCTGCTTTTCTAGTTCATGGAAAGAAGGTGATGGTTATACCTAGGTTCTTGATTATTAAAGTGAGTAAAATAAAATCTTAAATACATTTTATCTGCTTCAACTTTAAAAAAGGATTCAGAGTAGCAGTCGTGTTAGTCTGTATCCGCAAAAAGAACAGGAGTACTTGTGGCACCTTAGAGACTAACAAATTTATTAGAGCATAAGCTTTCGTGGGCTACAGCCCACTTCTTCGGATGCATATAGAGTGGAACATATATTGAGGAGATATATATATATACACACATACAGAGAGCATGAACAGGTGGGAGTTGTCTTATCAACTCTGAGAGGCCAATTAAGTAAGAGAAAAAAACTTTTGAAGTGATAATCAAGATAGCTCAGTACAGACAGTTTGATAAGAAGTGTGAGAATACTTACAAGGGAAGATAGATTCAATGTTTGTAATGGCTCAGCCATTCCCAGTGCTTATTCAATCCTGAGTTGACAGTATGCCAACATTTTTATGGCTGACTTAGGGGACGAGAGCTAAGGAAGCGTTGTTCTAACGCCCCTACTCTACTTGCGCTACATTGATGACATCTTCATCATCTGGACCCATGGAAAAGAAGCCCTTGAGGAATTCCACCATGATTTCAATAATTTCCATCCCACCATCAACCTCAGCCTAGATCAATCCACACAAGCGGTCCATTTCCTGGACACTACTGTGCTAATAAGCGATGGTCACATAAATACCACCCTATACCGGAAACCTACTGACTGCTACACTTACCTACATGCCTCCAGCTTCCATCCAGGACACACCACACGATCCATTGTCTACAGCCAAGCTCTAAGATATAACCGCATTTGCTCCAATCCCTCAGATAGAGACAAGCACCTACAAGATCTCTATCAAGCATTCTTAAAACTACAATACCCACCTGCTGAAGTGAAAAAACAGATTGACAGAGCCAGACGAGTACCCAGAAGTCACCTCCTACAAGACAGGCCCAACAGAGAAAATAACAGACCACCACTAGCTGTCACCTTCAGCCCCCAACTAAAACCTCTCCAGCGCATCATCAGAGATCTACAACCTATCCTGAAAGATGATCCTTTACTCTCACAGATCTTGGGAGACAGACCTTTCCTTGCTTACAGACAACCCCCCAACCTGAAGCAAATACTCACCAGCAACCACACATCACTGAACAAAAACACTGACCCAGGAACCTATCCTTGTAACAAAGCCCGATGCCAACTCTGTCCACATATCTATTCAAGTGACATCATCATAGGACCTAATCACATCAGCCATACCATCAGGGGCTCGTTCACCTGCACATCTACCAATGTGATATGTGCCAGCAATGCCCCTCTGCCATGTACATTGGCCAAACCGGACAGTCTCTACGCAAAAGAATTAATGGACACAAATCTGACATCAGGAATCATAATACTCAAAAACCAGTGGGAGAATACTTTAACCTGTCTGGCCATTCAATGACAGACCTGCGGGTGGGTATCTTACAACAGAAAAACTTCAAAAACAGACTCCAACAAGAGACTGCTGAGCTGGAATTGATATGCAAACTAGATACAATCAACTCAGGATTGAATAAGGACTGGGAATGGCTGAGCCATTACAAACATTGAATCTATCTCCCCTTGTAAGTATTCTCACACTTCTTATCAAACTGTCTGTACTGAGCTATCTTGAGTATCACTTCAAAAGTTTTTTTCTCTTACTTAATTGGCCTCTCAGAGTTGGTAAGACAACTCCCACCTGTTCATGCTCTCTGTATGTGTGTATATATATCTCCTCAATATATGTTCCACTCTATATGCATCCGAAGAAGTGGGCTGTAGCCCACGAAAGCTTATGCTCTAATAAATTTGTTAGTCTCTAAGGTGCCACAAGTACTCCTGTTTTTTAAAAAAGGAAACAACCCTGAAATAAGTTCACCTGGTAATTCAGGTTCCAGGATTCTAAGGCACTAGTACACACTAAATTCCAGTCCCACTGACGACAGAGACAGTTTTGCCAGGGTTTGCAGGGGAGAGGTGGGGGAATGACCACAATGCAGTTGTGGTAGATACTCTGTCCCACAACTGATAAATTCATTGTCTCTGAGCCTCTCTCCAGCAAATCAAATGGGACAGAACTCAGATAATCCTAGCGGCTCTGGTTTTCCATGTTTGTCTAGGACAGCACACAGGGAAAAGTTCCTCAGGCAGGGGCCCGGCTTAGCCTCTTTAACAGCATGGTTGATGAAGGGGCCTCAGTACAGATAACAGGACAATCCAGTTCAGTAACAAATATACTTTTCTTGCTGCAAGGAAACCTTCCTTTTCTATGGTATATGCAAAAAACTAGAATCACAACAGGAAATGGTGTAAAAACAAAAATAGTGACCAATGTCAAATGCAGTCCTTCTGTGTTTCAGTTTTGGTAAGTTTGACTCACCTTGGGCCTTGCAGGTACCACTCTTATGAGACAGGTGTCTGCACTTAACACAGTTTGCTGCTCCCATCTTGGCAACCCTTTAAGATCACATCACTCTCTGTCTCTCACATTTTCAGGGAACAGCAGAAAATCTATATAGTGCCACCTGGAATCCTAATATACTTCTACAGACCCTTACCCAGCTGTCTTCTGAACTCATCCTATAGGTCTCACATTATTCCCTGCCTATGAAGGTGACACTAGTAGGTGCCATAATGTTACTTGTATTGGCCATGAAGTTATGGCAAAATATAGGGCCACTGAGGAATTTATTCCAAAGTAGCACACTATGTCACAGATGTTTGGATTGATCCAGAGCATCCTACACAGAGCCTAAACCTGACACAAGGGGAAGACCACAGCTGCAGGTGTGCAGACTTGCTCCTTTGTGCTCTAGCATGAAGGCAGGTGTAATCTTGTCCAAAGTATTGATTTGCATTTACATTGCAAGTTTGAGACATAATTTAGAATTAAAATCTCATGTGAAATAAACATGCTATATGAGCTTCAGTATTGCTATTGTTGATTGGGCAGTCGTTGTGCAAAAAGACATGATCACAAGCTTCTAGCCACCTTTTCATCATGATCAAATTCATACTCATCTTCACATCCAGCCAAAGGTTCCTGGCTGTTCGCAGCTCTTCCTTGTGTGTTGGCTTTGTGGAAAGCATATTAGTCTGGCCAGATGGCAAGGCAGGTAACAGAATTCAAGGCCCAATCTTGGAAGTTCACATCCAATAAAAATGTAGGACTGGGCCTTATGCTTTTAAAAAAAGAAATAGTTTGGGCTAAAATATTATTTTTACATCATGTTAAACCAAAAGATAGATTCCAGAGCTATAGTCGGCTCAGAGTACTTTGGAGTGTCAGATAACCGTAACCCCATTGGCAGGACAGGTGTAGTTATTTGTTACTATTGTTTTTTTGCCAATCAAAACTGTTTGTATTGGTTATAAGACTGTTCCTATCCCTCACAAATGCTTTGCTTTCATTTAAACTATACAGAATACCTAAATATATTAGATCAGTGTGCTGGTCATGTTTTGTGATTTAATTTTGTGTGAAACAATGTTTGAATAAGAAAATCCTATTTGGTGAAAGTATTATTGAGGGGTGGTATGCTTACCACCTCTAAAAAGGAGATTCACAGAGATGGCATATACAGATTTTTTTAAAAAAATTCTCATGAACTGATTTTATTTTGTGTGTATATGAGGGAGTTTAAGTATCATGGATGATATCCTGGCTCCATTGAAGTCAATGGGAGTTTTGTCTTCAACATCACCAGGGCCAGGATTTCACCCTATTTCTGCTTTAAAGGAAGGCAGTATGCACCACTAGATGGCAAACCTGCCTAGGAATGAGTGGACCTGTTTTTTTACTCCCATCTCTACCACTGACCTTGGCCAAGTCACTTCATCACTATGGCTGTTTCCCCATCTGTAAAATGAGGGTTCTGCTTGCCTTCATTTGTAAAGTTCTTTGAGATCTACAGATGAACGAAGTGCTAAAACCTATCCCACCCTCAGCAAACCTGGAATTCATTTGCACAGGACACAGCAGATACTTTGCACACCCTTACCTCTGGAGGCTGCACACTTGCTTTGTCTTATATTTCTTGGATTTCATTAATTTAAATTAGAGCCTTCCCTTAACAGTTTGCACATTATCTTTACCACCTACACCTCACTTTCTTTCTTCAATGTGTATAATAAATTCCTTTGGGCTATAAAATTATCTGGTTAGAAATATCAACTAATAGTTTCTTCTAATTCAAAGGAGACAGCATTGTTAGTTTGAAAGTAACTTTTGTTGTCTGATGAAATGCTAAGCACCATAGCATATTTTGCATAATTTTAAT